AGTTTCTATGATTGCCTCATCAATTGGTAGGGCAATCTCACTATGCAATGTAATTTTGTACTTCTTGGAGGGAGACATGCTGACTTGTCGCTACTCGCTTGAATAATTCTTGAAATTGCTTGAGGTCATCAATTGCTACTGTATCTGATGGTATAACTGCGTCGTCCTGTTGGGCACTTAGTTCGTCAGGGTATATGATGTTTATTGATTGAATATCTGATTCGTTGTCCGAAATTCATTCCTCCTCCTCTTCAGTGTGTGTTGTGGGAGGTAGGGGCTGTGGATGAGGCAGACTCCTTCGAGATGGTGTGGAGTGGACTGAGGACCGGGGTCCCATTGATCCCAGGGCCCCCATTGCGGTGGGTAAGATGGGGGTGGTTAAGGCCAATAGGGGTGCCATAGGCTTTGTTGTGGTCCAGCCCTATGATAGTAGGAGCAAGACCTCCTGGGTGACATGTGCCGCGAAGAATATGTCATGTGTCGGTCATCATCAGGTAAGGGAGCATCTTGCAAGGACACTGGAGACATAGATCTGGGAGGGGAATGTCTTCCAAAGTATCTCCCAGGTGAGTAGTCAGTGGGAGGCAGGCATGAATGCTGCTGCCTGCTGTGAGTGTCAGACGCTGCCTGGGGCTGTTCTGTAGCAGGCTCATGAGGATGTGTCTCGCGGTCTGCTGCCAGTGCCAGTGGGGGTGTGGAGATCTGGGTTACAGTTGTAGCCGGTGACGGCTGTGTATGGGGTCTCTTGTGCGGCGGTGCCGAGGGTTTAAGCGGTGCCGCCACTTTAAGTGGCGCCGGAGTTTTCTGCAGTGCTGGGGCTTGAAGCAGTGCCACGGTTAGAAGCGGCGCCGGCTTTTTTTTCCCGCCCTGGGTGGTTAGAGTGTTCCCAGGACGGCTCGGAGGCAGCGCACACCGGTCCCTGTGCCGAACGTGAGCATCTTCCCTCTTCTTTATTAGCAGGGGTCCTCAGATTTCCATGCACCTCCCCTGGGTTTTCGGGGAGGAAGAAGGCGGGAGAGAGCACGAAGGTGAGGCTCTCTGCCTTGTTGCAGTTTTGGGTGGCGAGGCAGTTTCATGTTGTGGTTCCCCATTGTTCTGTAGGCTGTAGAGCCTTCTCAAACAAAATCATCCTTAGGCGGAGCTCTCTATCTTTTCTAGCTCTCGCAGTGAGGAAAGCACTGTGTGCGCAGCTGTGGGGTGAGGGAGTTTCCCCCAAGCAGTGAATACATTTTGTATGGTCGTCAGAAGCCGGCATAGGCTCGCAGCACTGTTCACAGTTTCTAAAGCCTGAGGAAGCAGACATAGGGGAGATTTTTCTTTCTTTAAACTGTTGTTCTCAGTGTTTTATTTATTTCTGACTGTTATGGTCCTTTTCTTTTGTTTCTGTGATTTATTTGTTTTCCTAGCTGAACAGCCGGGAGAGCCCTGGTTCACCAGGGCTCTGGTCTCAAGCGAGTTTCAGTCCCCGAAATGAGATTTTGTTGTTAGTTTCATTCTTCTTATAAGAATTGTTATAATTATTTTAAAGAGAAAAAACAAGGAAAACAAACTTGGAGTATAACAGGGGAAAACTGTGGTAACCTAACTAATGGAAAAGCAGTCTGAGAGACTGAGAGGGAGCTCTCGCTCGCTCTGCCCGCTGACGAGGGCGGTTGAAGAGGAAATGAAAGGGACGGGGTTGAGCTGTGCGCTGCAGAAGACGGGAAGGGCTCGAGATGCCTCATGAGCATGAGCGGCTCAACAGGGGGAAACTGCTTCGCAAAGCTCTGATCTGCGGCTCAGGGCAACCCTGCACCCAACCTAGAGTGGAGCACCCACGGGGATACTACTTGGAGAAGAATCTTGTGATATGGTCTTTGCTGAGAACCCACCTTCAGCTGTGATGACTCTGAACTGTTCTCATGTGTTCATCAGAAATATCTTCAATAAAGCTTTTGAATTTACCATGGTGAAGTTGTATTTTGCCTTCAGATCTTGATAATTTGTCATCCTGAATTGCAGAGTCACTTCAGAGTAACTGTTGTGACCAAATAGATCTAGTTACTTTTGGTCTTTGTTGTAAGGCTCTTTTTTTTGTGGGATGCTGTCTGACACATTCATTGATTAAAGCATTTGTTGGTGGGAGGGAGAACAGAACACTCAGAATTTTTGTCTTCCCATTTACAGCTAAATAATGCCATAGCAGAGGTCTTCCAGATGGTTTTATCAGGTTCCAGAAAAGCCTTGTTGATTGGTAAAGCAATTTGGCCAGAAATTATTGAATATAATATGTCCAAAAGTTCATGTTCTGACCTCTTGGCTCTCTTCTAAGGAAACCGGGATGAGTCAACAACATGTTTCATCAGTTCCTGACATTGTTCAAAATCATACAGCCAAGGATGTTGGTTGAGGCATTACAGCTTCATTTGGTGGTGACAGATATTTTCATTGGGTGGGAAAGGTCATCTCTGTCACTTCTACCCTCTTGCTCTTTGAGAGTTTTCTCCGAAGCAGAGGAGAAAAATATGGTACTAGAGAATTTTTTTTCTGTGTTCCCCCTTGGAATAGCTAGGAGCTTAAAAAAACAAACAAACAGCGCTTGTGGGTCCCATTATGGCTACTGAGGGGGACCATAATAGAGAGGACAGGATATCCAGTATTAGTCACACTAACAAGAAGGGCCCTAAAGCTTTCTCTCAATGCATTTTCCTCGCAAGGTAGAGGACCTAAGAAATGTTCTCTCCATGGTATATAGGAGACATCTGAATAGTGATCTGAGCACAAGAGGAATCATTCTTAATGTAGTCCAACAGTGAGGAAGAACTGCAGACAAAGACAGTTGTCTGCTGTCTGCAGCAGGTATTAGAGAAGTCCATCACCAGGAAAAGATAAGATAATTGACCTGAAGATCTTGACACAGATGTGTGCTGGGTACCCATTAGCAATGGGGACTATTGTTCTTCAGAAACAAAAAGACCCATAGAGAGAACTCCTCCCTCAGTTCTCTCTCCTCACAGCAACACGTGGCTGCATGGGAGAGGCACCTCTCCCCACTGCGGAAGCTCCAGGGCTGGAAGAAAGGCATCTCTTGCTTTGCAGCACTTAATAGGCTGCTGGGTGGCTCCGTAGCTGAGTGGGAACTTAAGAGCTGACTTTCATCCAACTGATTCCAACATGTGAAGAGCTTTATAGCATCCAATTCTAAGCTAACAAAACACATGGGTATTATTGCAAAATTCCTTGAAATCTAAAAGTAAAATCAGAGTCTGGGAGTGAAAAGGATAAAATTAGGCAAGAGTTCCCCATACATACAGTAATTATGATTGAAGCCCAAGCACAAGCATAGTAAAAATAAGGAATATTCATTCCAGCTGTACAGAATAAGGACTCCAAGTCAGAAAAAGTATGGAAATATGTGAAATAAGGAACTATTGTCCAAAGACAACTGGTAATTTCTAACATACACATCACATTTAAATCTACAATTTTGTCACCGAGCATGCAGAAGCCACCGAATCTGTGACTTCCATTAACTTCTGTGTCTTCAGCCTGCAGTGACAGAGCTGAAGGGTCCCCTAGGAGACCACCAGACCTTCTGACAGCATGAATATCTTTCAGCTCCCATCCACTATGGGACAAGTTCCTGGCCCCTAGAGTTACAAAATGTACCCTTATGCAATGTAATGTATCCCCGAGGTATGCCAACCATACCTTCTGACTAGGAAAAAAGCAACAACCTACTGCTGTTGGTAAAGATGCACTAAGCAGGCTGTTTATGTTTCTTATTAATGATGAGGCAGGAATAGACCAAAAAGGACCCTGTGACTCACTACTGTCATCCTTTTACCCTTAGGATTGTTTTCTTCTTTAGCTAAAGAGTTTAAGAAAGTTTTTTGTGTTATGGAAAAAATTGTAATAGTAATAGTTACTTGAATCTGAGAATATTTCATATTAGATCTGTTTTTACAAAAGCAACTAGGTAATCCTTACTTGTACAAAGCAAGTATGTCATTTTTGATTGCGAGAGTGAAGAATAGTCTAATCTCTTTAGGAAAAAGAGACTCAAAGGCCAGCACAGCACAAAGATGGTCAGAGAAGAGGGGCTGGAGACTTGGGGGTGGAAAGGAGCTATCCAATGTGCCCATGGTATTTGGTGATGGTGAGGGGCAGGCTGGTGACCTTGAGTTTAGAAACAAGCACTCCCAATGTGTGAAGATAACAAATCCCATCAAAACCAGGGTGGTGCAACACCCAGAGAAGTCATCATTAGACTGATATTAAACAGTGGAAACAATTTCCAGATGAACATATGTTGCAAAGTGACTGATTACAATATGATACAGCAAAATCTATATTGTTGCATGAGAAGGGATTCCTATAAAAGATGGAGTGTCTTGAATGGGTCTTTGTACTACTAAGATTGGCGTATCGATCTAGACCTGACAGAAGCCTTGCTCCCTTCTTGCACACTGCCTAACTTGCCACGAGGCTGATGCAAGCAACAGACTAGTAACTATAACACCAGCAGCGTGTCATTAATTGAAATGAATCTCTCTGAAAAGGCTGAAATCAAACAATATTTAAATGAATATCATTTTATTATTGTTTAACAGCACAATTAAAACTGCAATTATTTTTTTAAATCTCTCAACAGTCCTAGTTTTAATCCCTTCACACAGCAGCCTGGAAATCTGACCTATTAGCTAGGACCATCAAAAAGGAAAGGACAGGCACCAACAACTTCCTCACAAGGGCATAAAAAGCTGACACTAGCTGAGAATCCCTAGATGGAAGTACTGGGAGTAAATGTCAACTCCTGAACATGTCATATTAAAAATAAATAAAATTACTTTCTAATGCTTCATTTTTATCCACATATTTAACTTCAGTTTTAGTCATAATAAAAGACCACTATACAAAGATTCTAGGTACTGTAACACCTAAGTAGTAATATAATTCCAGAAGTATTAAAATAACCAGTCAAGCAGCAGATCACAAATGTTAAGTAGTAATGGGGTTACCTTACTCTTGTACTTCTGATGTCCCAGCCGGAACTTCACATAGGGATCGCTCAATCCATTTGCATCCATGGCCTTTAATTCACACCCCTCTATTAAAGTGACACTGACTATTCCTCTCCAGAGCTGAGATTTTCTGTGCATGTCTGACAGGCGTAAACTCTGGGGCTGAAACTTGAGGTTAAAGAAAATCTAGATTTAGTTATAATACACAAAACATTTCTGTAATGTATCCTTCAAGCTTTTATCAAAACTGTTCAACTTATCTGTAGATTTTTTTGGGAGGGAGGAGTTGTTTTTAATTAATCAAAAACACAGTGCCAATTACAGAAGCAAAATACTCTCTCTACCCTAAGATTCCAGTGTTTGTACATCAGAGGATAACATTAACTCATTGGGACACAAAAATCACATTGAGAGCTTGAGTTAAATTGATTATCCACCCCACCCCACCCCCCATTGCAATCCCCAAATCTTTTTCAGAGTCACTGCTTCCCAGGACAGCATCTCCTCTCCCAACCCATAGCAATGATCGTGCTGCAAATAAATAAATATGTTAAGGTCTAATGAAGAGGCATTGTATGAACAAGTGAACCTGAAAAAGCAATGTCAGATACTATGCAAGGATGAAATTTTGACTAAAATAATCCAAAGCATTAGGAGAAGCAGTAAGTGAGGAAACAAAGAGCACTACAGAAAAGGAGGGAAATAAAATTCACAATTACTGTGTAAATGACAATCATCTGCAGTCAGTAAAATGATTTGTATACCCACATACACTATTATGAAAAAACGCCATGCAGCCAATCTAAAATGATGTTTCTGTAAGATACTCAGCAGTCATCCCTTCAGTTTTGCTGATGTCTATGTAGGTCATTTCCTAATTTGTCCTTTACTTGATATTTAAAAAAAATAAAAAGCTTAATTGAACTTTTAAGTACAACTGCTAGTTTAATCCAATATCCACATGTTCCAAAACATAGAGAATAACTTCACTGGCTGTGGAAAAATCCTTATATCCTTTTGAAAACATTGCTACTGATTACAAAATGTTCTCTCAAATCTGTTCTGAAAAACAGATCTCTTGATTTCTATCACATTCTGACAGAAAAGAAGTATCCTTTTTTACAGTGGTTTGATATGATTGGCCACCCATAAATTTACTTGACTTATTTCAATAGTCAGTAAAGCATGCATGCATCAAAGTAAATATTTCCGTTGTCAGTATTCCCTCCTGTTTACTTGTAATTATATTTTGTAATTCTGAAGACTTCTCTGCCATCTCCCACTCTGATTTATAAAGCACACCACCACATCAGGTTCTTCTACAATTAGGGTCCAGATTAGCAGGGAGTCATTATATAGTCTTTGTTTTCCATCTGGTACAATAACAATATAATTGTCACAGATAAATCAACAGTGTTTAAATATTTCATTCAGCAATGTAACTGCACACACCATCTATCTCCCTGGCCCTGACTAGCACCCTTGGGACCTGACTGGTCCTAAACAAGGAATTTTTCCAGACCAGGGGAGTTCACTTCTGCACCACCACCCCAAGTCCAGTTCCTCCTGGCCTGACCCCTGGCCTCCTCTCCCCCCCAGTCCCCTGCCAGCCCACTGCAATGCTGGGCTGCCAAGTCCTACCAGCCCTGCTGCGGTAGCCTGCAGTCCCACTGTTGGGGTTCCCAGCCCCACCAGCTCTACCATGGCTGACCTGGGTCTCCCGGGCCCCCCCAGATATGCTGCTGCCCCATCATTGGGGCTTCTGGCCACTGACCTGATGAAGCCTGCTGCCACTTCAGACACCCCAAATGCGGCTCAGCTGGAACCTGCAGCCAGGCTCCCAGCCACCAGCCTGGCTACACACTAAGCCCCATATAGGGCTCCTGCCTCTGGCCTTACACAGGGACTCTGGACTGGCAACATCAGTGGTTATTTTGGACCACACCTGTTGCCAGATAAGTGAGTCTTGGTTTACAGAGTTGCAACATGTAGAAATTTTTCTTTAAACATTACTTATTGGTGATATTGACATCCAGATGTGGATATTTTATGAAAGTGAAAACTCACATACTTTATAAATTTTAAAATTATCATTTCCCTCCTACTTCCAAATTATACTAATTTATTATTGCAACATATTACTCATTTTCTAAATTAAGAAATATCACAAAACCAGTGTTTTTGTTTACTCTCATAATCCTTATATCATGATGTGCTATTTCTCATTTTTATTCTCAGCCCATGAAGCCTCATGCAACACTGGAGAGTGTGACTCAATTCTAATAAGGGAAACCATTTGCAAACATTGGGAGTAAGAAACCAGTGACTACACAATTAAGCATCTTCAATCAGACATAAAATCATCATATATTCAAAGGCTACTTTCAGCTTTTCCCTTTGTACAAACTCAATCTTGTTTTGAAAGAGTATAAAATTTATTTTAAAAATTCAGTGGGATGGGTAAAGCAACTGTCATATGGTTACAGCAAATCCTTTTTATAAATGTTAATACACAAAATGGATAGTTAAACACACACTACTTACATAAGAACATAAGAACGGCCGTACTGGGTCAGACCAAAGGTCTTTCTAGCCCAGTATCCTGTCTACCGACAGTGGCCAACACCAGGTGCCCCAGAGAGGGTGAACCGAAGACAACGATCGAGCGATTTGTCTCCTGCCATCTCTCTCCAACCTCTGAAAAACAGAGGCCAAGGACACCATTTTATCCCCTGGCTAATAGCCTTTTATGGACCTAACTTCCATGAAATTATCTAGCTTCTCTTTAAACTCTGTTATAGTCCTAGCCTTCACCGCCTCCTCTGGCAAGGAGTTCCACAGGTTGACTACACGCTGTGTGAAGAAGAACTTTCTTTTATTAGTTCTAAACCTTTATGGACCTAACTTCCATGAAATTATCTAGCTTCTCTTTAAACTCTATTATAGTCCTAGCCTTCACAGCCTCCTCTGGCAAGGAGTTCCACAGGTTGACTACACGCTGTGTGAAGAAGAACTTTCTTTTATTCATTTTAAACCTGCTACCCATTAATTTCATTTGGTGTCCTCTAGTTCTTCTATTATGGGAACTAATAAGTAACTTTTCTTTATCGGCCCTCTCCACACCACTCATGATTTTATATACCTCTATCATATCCCCCCTCAGTCTCCTCTTTTCTAAACTGAAAAGTCCCAGTCGCTTTAACCTCTCCTCATATGGGACCCGTTCCAAACCCCTAATCATTTTAGTT